CATCATAGGCGGGTCTTTCTGACATTACACTTTCGATCTGAGGAGACAGAGCTTCACATTGTTGCTGGCCGGCTGTTGTATTTTCTAAATGTGAGTTTGTATTGATTTTCTTTAATACAATTTTACGAATACTGCACCATGAGGGTTTCCTTTTGTCCTTATGACTGAACATCGGGGATGAGCAGTTATAAACGAACGAGGAAGGAGGACGCTGAGAGTTATCCTGATTCGTAAACGCTTGTTGGCTGTTATTTAACAGTCAGCAATTGGGGTGAGTGCATAGTCACTGGGGGGTGTTTCTGGGCACGTGGAAAAGCACTATATCTATTGGAATACGGAATTATTTCAACACAAGCTTGTGGTGTCTACACTATTTTGGATTTGGAGAAAGTTCCTCTTTTTTCACCCGAAAAGGTTTTTGTATTTTCACTATTGGGGACTGGACTGTCTTCGGATTGATTATCTGACTAATTACATTTGATTGATCAGTTTTTATATCAGTCCTATACACTTTTAATGTTATTTATTTCACTGTTTTCACATTATTTATAATAATTTATCAATTAGGTTGTACCCACTTTTTTATATATTTTTATAAATGTCATCATTTATTATTCATTATTTATATTAATATATGCACTTCACTGGAAGGTTTCCAGCACTGTACAGTTGTATTAATGATGATTTGAGGCTTGGAAGCTTTTGTGTAGCAGCTTTTAACCTATTGATGCCATTATTTTGTTCCATTAGCGCAGATTATTACTATATTTCAATTGGGCATCAGCCCCTCGTGTGTTTAACAATGTTCTCCCACTGGTACTGGCCTAATTGAGGCTGCGGGGGATGTAAATTGCTTTAACGTGGATGGTCTACTCCTCTGTGACGACTTCGAATCAGACCTGAAACTCAATCGTTCGGGCATGATTAGGGCTCTGGATGAGTTTGGGTAGATGCCCAACCTGAAGAAGTTGTGGCTGGTCCCATCTCTTTATCTGGGGTACCTGGGCCTGGCTTTGGTCACCTGGGTGGTCAGGGTTTTTCTTCCTCCAGAGAAGCTTCAGAAACCTTAAATCCCATGTGCATCTGCTGTGTTAACGCATGATAACTGCCTTTCACACCTTAAGGTTCGTAAACTCCTTTGAGGCAGTTTCCTATGCACAGCATCATATCTGCACCCTGCAAAGGGAGATTATTTCCAAATGGGACAAGCTTCCGGGATCTTTGGACAGGACAATCCATCTGTCCAATTGGACCAGGGCATCCTTGGCCTGGTGGCTTCAATGCCCAAGGTTGCTGCCCGTAAAGTCCTTTCTGCCTCTGTACTGATAGATTATCACAGCAGATGCCAGCCTGACCATCTGGGGGGACATGCTCGGTCAGATGTCAGCTCAGGGCCTGAAGACCAAGGAGGAATCCAGTCTGTCCATCAATGTTCTGGAGCTTTGGGCGATTCGGCTGTCTCTCTAGTTCTGGGCGGAAAGACATGATCCGGGGCCCTGCCCTCTGTTCATACCCCAAGGGTGGAGAGCTGACAGACAGACTATCTGAGCTGTCAGAGTCTGGATTTAGGAGAGTGATCCCTTTATCTGGACAAGTTCTCTCTGATTTACACCTTTCCTTCTCTGAAACATCTGCCCTGGCTGTTACAAAGAATAGAGCTGGAAGGCATTCTGGTAATTTTAGTGACTCCAGAATGGCCGCGTCACGTCTGATAAGAAGACATCATTCATCTGGTCCCAACACTGAATGGATGCTTCGGGTTTCTCAGGTCCACACCTTTACAAAGTTCTAAAAGGTTGACATTGCTGCAAGCTAGGGATGTCCCGTTACCACTTTTTCAAGACCAAGTACAAGTACTTCCCCTCGTGTACTTGCTGATACCAATTACCAATACTTTTTCTAACTACTACCCTTTGAGAACGGGGTCTCCGACGGAGCCAGCACACACTTCGATCAAACCCAGAGGAATCCACAGGATCAAGCCCCCATCACAGGGACCCGGACGTCGATGACGGCACACCCATGTGTACCTCATGGTGAGTTACTACACTCTCTTTTTCTTGGCACCATCACTTATGCCTCATGTGTTACCTCTGTCTCCCTCTCGTCATTTACATCGAACGGAGCATCTGACGTGACAGAAAACCTCCATCAACTACCTCCCCCCCTCCCCGTTCTCAAAGGGTAGTAGCGCTTTAGACTCCGCCATTTGTTTTGTCAAAAAAAAACCAATACAGACTAATGATTTTAGGCCAATTTCTTTATGATTATGAAGAACTTTAATTTAAGACTGTTTTAGAACAATAAAACATTTCTATTTGCTTTCACACCGCTGTAGTGAAACCACAAATCCGATCATGGATCTGCCTCTGGGATAATTTAACCTATTCATGTTAGCAGGGCAGAATTGTAATTCTATTGCTGCAGTGTACTGGATGTGTGTGCTGTGGATCATTTAACCTGGTACACACTTCCAGTACACTGCAGTAATAGAGTTACAAGTCTGACCTGGTAACATGTATAGGTTAAATGATCCATAGTACAACTATATGTTATGTACTGTGGTTCATGATTTAACCTATTCATGTTAGCAGGGCGGAATTGTAACTCTATTACTGCAGACTGCAGTGTACTGGACGTGTGTGCTGTATATGTACTACATATACAGTACATACTTCCAGTACACTATAGCAATAGATTTACAGTCAGCCCTGTCCCAGCATCCCTCACTCACAGTTTCACTCCAATCCCTGTTGCCAAATGCGGTGCGTAGTCGGCTCTGGGCAAGATCGCTGAATAGCGGCTAACATGAATAGGTTAAATCATGATACAGCACACACGTCCAGTACACTGCAGCAATAGACTTACAATTCTCCCCTGCTAATATGAATAGGTTAAATTATCCATAATACATAATATGTACATAAGTACATAACATGTACTTGTACCATGGATCATTTAACCTATGCATGTTAGCAGGTCAGAATTGTAAATCTATTGCTGCAGTGTATTGGGAATGTGTACTGTACATGTACTACATATAGAATACACTGCAGCAATAGATTTACAATTCTGGCCTGCTAACATAAATAGGCTAAATGATCCTAGAGCTGCAACAACTATTCGATTTAGTCGATTGGGAGATGTGCACAAGGGAAGGTGTGTAGCAATAGAAGATGCACACAGGGGGATATACTAGGAGATATGCACTGGGAGACATGTGTAGCACAGGGGCTACAGATATACTGGGAGATGTGCACAAGGAATGCACAGGGGGTTGTGCATTGCACTGATAAATGCACACAGGGGAGTACACTGGGAGATGTGTAGCACAGAGGCTACGGACACACTGGGAGATGTGTACAGGGGAATGTGCGTATCACAGAAAGGTACACACAGGGGAAGGAGTAAAGCACAGACACTAAAGGAGACATAACGAAACACAGGGAAAGGGGTGCGAGACATATATGAACACTGGGAACAAACAACACAGCTGAGCAAACTCATGCTGCAGACAGGTAAATGCAAGAAAGGGATACCAACAGTTTTTTCAGGGAATCACTGAGAACTAGTACAAACAGAGACACAAGGAACAGCAGAGAGGGAAATGGCCAAACTGGGAAATCACAGGGGACACACAAATAAACCAGGAAGCACAAGGATCCAAGTAAGCACGAGGAAGCTAGAATTCACAGGGAACCAAGAAAGTACGAGGACACTGGGAATCACAGAGTCACAAGGGAACAGACTTGTTGCTCGAACCCAGAGCAACAAGTGAGGTAATCCTAAATAGGACAGGAAGTGGGAAGATTGGCTACAGTCCTGTTAAACACTATAGGCAAACAGTCAAGCACCTGGGACCAAGGGGAAAATCAGGCATGGACAGGGGACACTATGGAAAATCCGGCATGCATTCCAGGACATTGTGACAATACCTTTGCTCCCAAATGAAAGAACATATTTTGTTTACCATAATGTTAATCCTGTTTCTGTTTCATTGTCCTCTTTATGATTAAATCATAGTAATTTAACCAAGTCACAACATTTTCCATTTTCGATTTTTATGGACCTAAAGGTGGTAATCCTTTGGCCTCTGTCATTTCTGCACCCTGTGCTGGCTAATTGGTCTTAGCCCTGCCAACACATGCAACAAGTACCCAAAGGAACAATCCAGTCAAAAGCTTTATATTTTTGTATTAAAACTTATTAAGGCATAGGAGAGATGCAGGTGTACGACAAGATTTCTAAAATATGAAATATCACAAATGATCATAACGTTCACTGTGAAGGAAGTAGGAGATAAAGAGTCATTCGTCAAAGGGACACAATATGGAGCACTACATGTAACTACCATTAAGACCACTAAATACCTAAATAATCCACCTTGTCTGGTTTGTGCCTCAGGGAGCATGGAGCTGGCTTCCAAGCCAACCAGGAAGCCGGTAAGCAGGTAATGACTCGCCCCCCAGCTTCCTGATTGGCTGGGAAACCGGCTCCATGCTTCCTCATCACTTGGTGACGAGGGAGCATGGAGTCAGCTTCCCGGCCAATCAGGAAGCCGGGCAGCGTGTAATGACTCGACTCCTAGCTTCCTGATTGGTCGAGAAGCTGGCCAATCAGGAAGATGGATGGTGAGTCATTAACAACCACCCGGCTTCCTGATTGTCCAGAAACCCGACTCCATGCTTCCTCGTCACCTGGTGACGAGGGAGCATGGAGACGGCTTCCCAGCTAATCAGGGAGGCAAGCCATTACACGCTGCCCGGTTTCCTTATTAGGACTTCCGGTATCGATATTCGGTATCGGTGAAAAATATATCGGTACTTGATACAGAAAAAACGGTATCGGTGCATCCCTAGTATTTACTTTCTAGTAGATATAGCAAGCATATTCCATAATAAATGTGTCAATCAAGAGGTGTTCCTATTGAAGACTTTTTTCAACCTGACTATGTAACTATATGTATAATCTTTTAACATATTGTTTTTCTCTATTAACAGCATATAAAGCAAAGACTGCAAAGACTCCAGGCTGGTTGGCTTATAGAAGAAGATTCATTCCAAAGTCAGACCCCTTTTGGATATGTAATGTTCTCCAATGTTATTGCGACCCTGAATCCTGCTGCCAAGCGTCATTTAGTTCTTGCTTGCCATTATGATTCAAAATACTTCAGTCCACAGTGGGATGGCAGAGTATTTGTTGGAGCCACTGATTCGGCTGCTCCGTGTGCAATGCTGTTAGAGCTAGCTCGAGCACTAGATTCTCGTCTTCAACAGTTAAAGGTATGTGGTAACCTAGTGCCTCAACTATGTATGTTTACCTTTAATGTTAGTCGTTCTAATGTAAGATCATTAGCGACCCTATCAACAACTTAATTGCAGTTAATTATGGGACACAGGAGATGTATTTTGGAACCTTGAGTTATGCCTTTGACTTCAGGAGAATGGACACTGGCAAACAAGAGTTATAAGGATAGCCCCATATATATCCCTCCTATTCCAATTTTTCCATTGTCTATTTTTTACCAGTGTCCTTAGGAGAATGGGCATCTCTCTGCTCTGAGGGAAGCAAACCATTTTCTTTTTTTCCCTTTTGTTTTTTTCTCAAGATTTTTTTCTAATAGCAACATTTTTAAGCTGCTGCAGAGCCACTGAGGATCTTTTTTTGCAGCTAATATCCAGACCACCTACTCCTCAACTTTGCACAGGGAGACCTTGTCATGAAAAAATATGCACAGCTGGCCTATAATGTGGCCCTCTGGGCACTGGACTTTGCATTGGATGCTCACCTAGGCACATGGTGCAATGCGTTGACTTACCCGCAGCGTGCTTTACACAGGACCAGGGCCTTGGTACATTTGCCTTGTTGAACCTTGTCCCTGAAGATTCCTTAGGGCACAGGCGCCCACAATTTTTCGTCTGGAGATCTACTTTTCAAATGACGACTTCAATGAGATCTACCAACGAAAAAACACCTGCATTCAGGGGCGGGAGGGGGTGTGGGGTTCTATTGAAGTCAATGGCACCGCAGCCATGCCCCCCGCCCACAGTGCGATCGCCCCGGAACGCAGGCACATTAGGGCTTGCGTTCCGGTCCAGTGCGATCCGCAAAAATGCTGCAAGCACTATTTTTGCAGATCACACTGGAAAGGAATGCAGGCACTAATGTGCCTGCGTTCCGGGGCGATCGCACTGTGGGCGGGGGGCATGGCTGCGGTGCCATTGACTTCAATAGAACCCCACACCCCCTCCCGCCCCTGAACGCAGGGAGTCGGCCGGCTTACATTCCAGTGTGTCCTAGAGGCCCCGGCGTCCTGTCCTACCGTGGTGCATGAATGGAAAGCACAGAGGCTTCCCATTCATTCAGAAAATATTTTACTATCATCCAGTTTCTGAATGGGGAGGAGCCTCTTTACAGAGTGCTTCTCCCCATTGAGAAACTCATGAATAAACAGAAAGTGATGTATCCTGTTCATTCATAACTGGGGACACATAGCACTATGTGTCCCCAGTTATTTACAAACACTGGAGTGATCAGCTGATCGCTCCAGTGTTTGTCCTGCACAGAAGATTGGTACATATCACTGATATGTACCGATCCTCTGCCGCTCGGCCTTGCACACGGGGGCTCAGCTTTTCCTCTGGATCGCCCCTGCTCTCCCAGGCAGAGGCAGCGGGGGATCAGAGGAGAAGTGCGGGAAGTACTTCAGTTGCGGGGGGGGCGGAGGACGGAGCCTTAGTTCTGTGACAGCGGCCCCGCCACCGCCGGCTGCAGCGGTTCCTTCACTTGTTCTCGGATCCCAGCTGTATACAGATGTTGGAGGGCAGTGGGGATCCCGAGACGCGATCGACTGGTAGATCGCGATCAACCTTATGGGAATATGACCTTAGGGAATATGCCCACTGAGAGGGAGAAGACCACTGGATAGGGCTTGTTCCTCACATCCTACCCACTTGCATGGGAAAACTGCAGTATGAACACCACTGTGGTAAGTCTGGGCCTTTGCCCTCTCTGGGAGACTGAATGTGCTGTGGTCTGGTCCCCTAGGGGTTAAAATACAGATTGCCAGCTGCATCTTGGTTGCGCATGAAGTACATTTCTGTTATTTGATTTGGAGTCTTTGCAGCTTCTTTTGGGATGTGCACACGCGTTCACCATATTGGAACATACACATGGACCTTACTGAACTTTGATTTGCCTTTCCTTCATTACAACAGTACAGTGATCTTCTAGGACTCCTTCCTGGGCTCCCTGCTGCATACAGTGATGAGTCACAGAAGGCTCAACCCTTCCAGCTCTGTTGTGCTTGAGTACCCCAATTGAGAATTCCTTACATACTATTGCGGATCATAGGGGCAAGTTCGGTGGGTTGGTGGGCCCTGCCAACTTACATTTGACCATTATCTTGGAGGTCTGCAGCGTTTCCCCAATCGCTCCCCTCTTCAGAGAAATCCTTATTTCCTCCTTGTTTTTTTGGGGGGGGATAAAATAATTTATTGTTTTTCACTTGTAACACAACAGTGCAAGCTTTTTGTGTCCAATGGTTTGGGCACCAGGCATAGCATTGCATACAATTACAGCTTACATCAAAACCTAGTTATAAAGAAAAGAAAATATTTATAAAACAAGGAGTCCTCCCAATTGAGGACTTCCGTGGTACAGGTGGGGGAAACGGTTCCCAACATAGCTCACTGCAAAAAAACATCTTCCTTCATACTCGTCTGTTACGGGCTCGGTCATGGCATGTATGTTAGTATTAAGTGTATCTCGTAGTGTGGCACAGGATTGCCTTCGAGAAGGGCAGTGGGTCCCACTCAGACTCTTGCATCAAAGTCTACTGCAGAATTCGTGCATACTGTCATAGACTTACCCGGCGCTTCCCTGCGATCCAGCGACGTCTCACTCCGCCGATGACGTCACGCAGGCTCCGCCCACGGGGCGCGGCCCCGCAGTGAAAGGCTCAGCTGTTTTCGTCACTCGGCGTTCTCTCGGTTTGGAGCGTCGAGTGATGAACGGTGAACCTCGGTATCTTACCCTCTCGCCCAGTGCAGTCCACAGTCTGGAGACTCATCGTATGCAGCAGTTACCTCTTTCACCCCCTCTGAAGCACCTGCAGTCTAACGGATCGGAGGCTCTGACATACAACTCGTTTGGCTGATTCAACTAAGCGCAAGTACCCTGGGCACTGACCCTGAACCTAACGTTATAGTTGAAAGGAACTGTGTATCGCATACCAGATCTAGCATACTGGTGGAGGACATATAGATAACTGCTTGCATTATAAATACTAAGCTTACAGGGATTGCTCATGCTTATTGCTACAACCTGAATTATAATTGGAGGAGAGGAGTTACATCTTACTATGACCTGCTGACTGCCATACTGCTTGCATTATAACTACTAAGTTACAGGGATTGCCTATGCCTATCGCTACAACCTGAATTATAATTGGAGGAGAGGAGTTATATATCAATATACCCTGCTGACTAACTGCCATACTGCTTGCCTTGCCTATATTAAGCATACACGCATTACCTACCTCTACTGCTGCAACCTGTACCAGAATTCATAGTCTGCACACACTACTCCTTTGCACCTGATCAAACCGCCAGCTGCATTGCCAATTAGTCACCCCGTATATTATGTAAGGTGTCTTCTAAACACCCAGGGCCACATACAGATTCCCCTAGCGGTCCCCCCGGTGGCAAATGATGAGTACGGCCACCTAACCGCACTTGGTGTAATTGGGTACCGTTCACTGAACCACCTCCTTAAAAACCCTCCTTTCAAATAAATTGATCTCCAAATTCCGCAGCTGAGATCCAAAAGAGTACACATATTCGGCGAACTTGACACATTCTAACCAGCTATCCCAAACCTTATGGAATTTGTCAGGGCATCCCCTGTGGGCATACGTGTCCTGGTATAGGGGCAAGTTGTCATTCACTAGCTTCTTCCAGAAAGACAGTTCCGGCGTGGCCGGCTTCTTCCAGCACATGGCAATGGCCTTGCGGGCATAAAACAAGGTCAAACCTAGCAGCGTGCATTCAGACCTGGTCGGGGCTACCTCCTCCACCAGGCCTAGAAGACACACCCTTGTGAATTGAGTCAAAAACGTTGAACAAAAACTAAACAGTCTGCTAGGGCAGTGTAGTATCCCGACTAGAACTCCAAGTCCTCGAGATCCAGGACTCCTCTGGCTCCCTTTTCCTGGGGTGCTGATTAAACTGGATGAGGAGAAGGTAGCTTGAAATAATGAAGGTATGCTTACCAAGTGGAAGCAACCACAATGCCAGTGGTAGGCGTCTGTCAGGTGTTGGCCAGCCAGGCTGCAGCCGCCGCGGGGGTGTCAAAGAAGCAAGTAGTGGCGCCATCACTCACCCGCAAGCGACTGGGATATAGGAGCCATATTGCAGATCCTTTTCCCGGAGCCTCTTTCGGACGTCTGTAAAGGATCTGCTCTGTTGTTGTATTTCAGCAGAATAATCAGGATACAATGAGACACTGGCATTTTTGTAGAGTAGGATGGCCTCTAGCCGCTGTAAGGACCCGGTCTCTATCCCTGTAATTTAGCATTCGAATCAGGAACGGTCGGGCCGGAGCGCCCGGTTTTGGTGGGACGGGCAGGATGCGATGCGCTCTCTCCACCACAAAGGTCGGTGGTAGGTCCTGGAGGTCAAGCAGGGTAGCCAGAAAGGTTTCGGCGAATTCGGCCGGTGTTTTTCCCTCCGCCCGCTCAGGAAGGCCCAGCACGTGGATGTTGTTGCGGCGTAGCCGGTTTTCGGTAGCTACCACCCTCTCTTGCAGGCCCTGGAGCTGCCGTTGTAGCTGCTTGACTCCAGCGGAGTCCGCCCGCGTTGTCTCCTCCACCTGAGATATCCGGGCCTCCGCCTCCCCCATGCGTGTTCGGAATTTATCCAGATCATGGCGTAAGAAACTCACATCCGCCGAGAGGGAATCGATCTTGTTCGTGAGCGCCTCTTTACAAGACGTGATGGCCGCCAGGATGTCGGAGCTAGATGGAGAGGGAGGCGTCACATCAGTGCTGCTTGTCTGCGTGCTCACCGATATCTTGTTGCATTCAGCCAGCACAGCCAAAATGGCAACCTCCGAGACACCACAAGCCCTGCCTCCCGATGAGCGAGTCGATCTGCTCTTATTACGCTTCATAAAAACCGCCGCCGATGACGAGATCCCACTCAGGAGGTATTCAGACACACCTGACCACAGGTAAGTAGCAAAGAATCAGCACAAATTAGCTTCTCATCCTCTCCCCCAGAGT